GGGGCTACCCACCCCCCCCAATACTGAGCAGAAACTCACAAGTGGTTAAAAATAACTTCATCATAACCACTTTAGAAAGTTAGAGAGAGAAAAATGAGAAACTCCTTTTCTGTAGGAAAAAAAAAATTAGACCATAAAAACTCTGAAGAACTTAACAGAGTCATATCTGTCCACCAATGAACCCAAGAAGGTAGCAGTCCCACCCCTAAAGACAGAAGAAAGTTTCAGAATTCCATGGGTAGCTTTCATTTCATAAAACCGAAATATTTTACTCTGTCACCAGCTGAACTAAAAACACTATATTATTTTAATCTCTTATTTCAGTAATTATAGATAATGAAATGCCTTTCAGGTCTTAAGCTGAGATGCTAGAAATTTTTTTTTGAAATTGCACTTCAATTAGTTTCCCGTCACTGCTATGTCAAGTTACTTCTCCCCAAACAGAAAGACATTAAGGAAAGAAAAAACATTGAAGAAACAGGATAGCTGGAAACACCAGCATTCCGTTTGAGAGGAGAGAGGAGGAGGGACAAAGAAGGCAGAAAACCACAAATACCCACTTCAGGGTACACTGAACAGAGAGGCACTTCCCTCAGGCATATCAGCGGCTCACAGATGCAATTCACCTCTTCTGCCGAACTCCTCCTATCCTGAGCAATATCAGAAAGAAATCTAAGAAGCTGAGCTATATCTTATACACTACAAAGGAAAATTTAAAGGCAGTTTCTTAGAGTTCAGAGATCATAGAGAAGGCGCTGACACATTCCTCTATTTACTAGCTCTCTTTGCTTCTGTCCAAATCCCAAGCTCAACAGAAATGGACAACACTCGGCATGGCTCCTGGTGACAAGGACATTTGTGCCTGGCAGTCTTTGGGTCAGAACTTACTGATTGGAGTTGTGGTCATCAGCTGATAGGCCGGCGAGAGAGAAGCACCCAGACACAAAAGAACCCATTGGAACATGTATAACTGTAAGTCTCTAATTATCCTTTCTAATTTTGGAGCCATGTGACTGGACTTCACACAGCACTGCTGACCCCCTAAGGGCCTGAGGCTCTGAAGCTGGACCACTAAGGGAGGGGATGCTACTCTTCACTCCCTCATTAAAATATTGTGTTACATAGCAGGCGAGCTATTTCCTGC